TGTTTTGTTTTATTGAAGGTGGATTTTTCTTAAGAATAAATTAGTTTTTACACAAAACTGAATCGTTAGCCTAAGGCTGAATTCGATCTCACATTTACTGTCAACATGGTACCACTATACTAGCAGTTCACTTAAATAATGGTATCATGCTGTCAGTAGTTGTAAGATTAAGGTCAGTCATAATCCCTGATCCAAGAAAAAGGAATAAATACGAACTATATGGAATATAGTAAGTGCTTATCGAATTTAATTGTTTGAATATAACACGAAAATACACCATAATGTTAAATTACCTAAATGAACTATTAACACAGTATAACGTTTACTTTCCTTTTTAAAACCAAATTTAATAATCCAAATATTCCAGAATGTTATGACATATAGTTTTATGATTTTAAAATTGATTATACAAGAGCTATATGTCTTGTATTACACCTGAAATTTTGTTCTGAAATATCAACCTTATTGAATGGTAATTATACTTAACCGCCTTTATCCCATATAGTTGTTTTGCATAATACAATATATGGTATCCTAAGGACAATTTATGGTATTGTATGCTTATCATTTTTATACACGCTGACTAGAATCGTACATATATACTTATTTATGGTACATAATGATACTGTGAATCATCCCTTTATTGTTTACGATTATGCGGGTAGGTAGTTACTGTTTGAACCACAAGTAAAGGTGTTGCCACCTACTGAAAACAAATTAAGAATTATAATTATGAAACTGTCGAAACATCAACCTTAGTAGGCGGATAATGTAAATCATCGAGCGTGATGCTCGAAAAAGTGTTTTTATTTGATATTAATAATGAAAAAACTGGGTTGCTGAAACAAGAATGTAATCAAACTTTATAAGAGTCATGTGAGCTTTGTGGGCAGGTGCACTCCCATCACCATGTATACGTTATTTCTGGAGCAGAGGAGGAGGAGCCAAGAGTTCATTTGACAGCATGTAAATACAATTTCGTGAGCTGTTTCAGCAAAACAATTAGAAACTTCGGAAGATTTTCAAGATGTTTTCTAGCTCACTTGAAAAATAAAATCGGCTGAGTTCGCAGTACTCAGGTTATAACATGTTACAGCCTAGGTTACAGCGCTATCTTGATGGTGGTTTCTGTGTTGCAATTCTTTGACAACCGTTATAACACAAACGAAGTGACAGACGGAGCGGCTCGAAAACTTTGGTGACTAACCTGCTATTGCAATTTTTCAGTGTACCACATGGCAACACCACTACTACTGGATTGTACCACATGGGAACACTACTATTAGATTGAACTAGCATTTTCACCAAATGTACTAGAATGTTTTGGTTCTATCTCATTCACTCTACTCAAAACTGAAATGCATAAAAAATGACAAAATGATACGCACTCTTTGCACACTGTCAAAGAATCATTGTACACAAAATCAAATTTGTTCAAATCAAAACAAAAAGACTAACCCATCTGGTGGATGATGGCACAAGCTTCCAAGAAAATTCTATTACAGTGAACCACATTATTTTAATGGATTTCTTCGCCAGTTAGTCGTCTGTAACTTCGTTTGTGGTTATAACATGTTATAACCATAGAGGTAACTCTAAAACGCTGTCCAGACTGCAGAGTTATAATATGTTATAACGGTTGTCAAATAATTGCAACACTGAAACCACCATCAAGATAGCGCTATAACATGTTATAACCATAGAGGTAACTCTAAGACAAGTAGGTCCCGAAGAAACGTGCTCAACTTTTTGGCTCACCTCTGGTACTATCTTCGGTCCCAAGCTTGTCGAATCACCCCTCGAAACATAGGAAAAACCAATAACCCCTCATTTTATCTGTCAAACTTTCATAGCGAATCAAAACAAACATTGCGTAGTACTAGAATTTCGACTAGAATAGGGTACGTTAATCGTTTGCTTGGGACCAATAGGCTACTAAAGTGGTGAGCCAATTTAAAATCGTTAGTTTCATATTGATTGTTGTTATAACTCTCTAGTCTGAACGTACTATAAGATCAGAACGTTCCGAAAAAACGTGCTCAACTTTTTGGCTCAGCTCTGGTACTATCTTCGGTCCCAAGCTAATCGATTCACCCCTCGAAACATAGCAAAATCCACTAACCCCTCATTTTATCTGTCAAACTTTCATAGCGAATCAAAACAAACATTGTATAGTACTAGAATTTTGACTAGAATGGGGTTCGTTAATCGATTTGCTTGGTACCAATAGGCTAGTCAAGTAGTTAGCCAATTTAAAATCGCTAGTTTCGAATTGAGAAATCCAACCAAAACTCATGCGCGCCTGGTGGCAGGAATAAGCACTAACCGAGGGTGATAAGTCTGTGACAGCCCTTGAAAATTCCATTGATTGTTTGCAAAATTATTTAATTTCAATGTAATTTCATGAAAATTTCTTGTCAGCATGGATGAATCTTGTACAAATTGCATAAAACTATTTTGTAATGCATTAATTGTTCTTAAATAAACAGCTACTTCAAGACTAATAAATTACTGAAAACATGTTAAGATTTGAAATCATCTGCCGATTAAACAACAGACAAAGTTGGCCGACTAAATCAATCGACGAAAAACTATTAAATATGCCGATTGCTCGGTGTAGCACCAGACGAAAACGGAGACGAGCCAGCCAACGGCTGAAAGTCTCCTTAATAAAGATATAAAAAAAAAAAAAAAACCAGACGAAAAACGATTTAATCTGCTGATTAATACACCGACTGAAATTAATTTTTAAGTGACAATAGATTTAGTCGGTGGACGATTTGGGTGATTTGGATGATGTTTGTTTATTTGGAAGATATTTTCGAAACAAAGCACGATAAAATTCAGCATTATATACCATTATTACGAGTACTACTTTTTTGCTCGGATCATGTTTTGACTTCCACAGAAACTCGCTAGAATAAATAGAAAATAATAGTTTTTTGGTTGAAATTTCAAAAATGTATTCAGTTTGACACATTATTTCGAACTTATCACCACTGCGATTGCAGCGTCACGGTGGTCGATTGAAACATGGATTTGTCAATTGATTGTTGTTATCCAGCTTTCCATGCTCGGTAATGGCGGCCTGTTTGTATGAATAAATGTATCCTTCACTGTGCTTTTTGACACTATCTAGATGTTCGAATTTCAACCCCTTCCCTTTCCCTCTCCCAGGAACAGAAGAAAATGGAACAACATACGCCCTCCAGTTAAAGCCCTACAGTAAAAGTATGGACGACTGTCACCACAAAACTGAAAAAAGCTGTTCCAATCGAGCAAAGCGGTGCATTTTGACGGTTCGATTGGAACAACTTTTGACAGACGTCCATGCTTTTACTGTAGGGCTTTACCTCCAGTTAGTGTCAAAAAGCACAGTGAAGGATACATTTATTCATACAAACAGGCCGCCATTACCGAGGATGGAAAGCTGGATAGCTCTCCAGTCTGTACAGCGTTTTACCCACATTTTGGCGAATACATGTTTACCCATTTTTGGGTTGTTTCAGTTTTGATCGCTCGGATTCTACCAAAATTAGGGTAGTTTTGAAATAGCACGCCATCAACGATAATCAAAACAAGAAACGAAAAATAGAGAGAGAAAAGAGAGAATTTGTAAATAAAACAACCTCGAGGCCCAGTTCAAGGTTATTTGATTCATTAAACTTTTGAACAGGTAGTCTTCTCGGTCGTCTTTCATTTGACTTGACATAAATGTGCTAGTAGTCGACTTCGACCAGTTTTTGGACATTGTCATAGTTCAAGAAATGGACAGTGTTTAAATGGGCTTGAGAGAATGAGAGCAGCGATGCCACATATACAGATTTATCTGTTGTCACAGATTTTTCTTAATATGTTGATATAGATATCTGTTTATACAGATGACAGATTCAGGGAAAAAATATACAGATTTTTTCAAATAAGCGAAATATATTTTTAACTCTGGATTATATTTATTCATTCTGATACGCGCACCGAACCTACACGATAAGAAAAAAGTACACAACAGCCAGTTCACTTTTACCTACTTTTGACTAGTTTGTCTCCTTTTCTCCTACTAATGTTGTCAAAAACGGAGGAGCAAAACCACCCAACAGGGGTAGTAAAGTGTGGGAACCCAACGTTGAGTATAATCCTATTCACCTACTGTTGGGTACAACTAACTTACTTTTGGTTAAAAAGCCAGCGGAAAATTCCATACGAACTGCACACAAGTAAAAGAAAATTACTTTGACCCGCTTTATCTACTTTTGGGTTCCTGCACTAAAGTGCCGAGATGAGTGAAAAGAACTTACTTTTGTGTACTTTTTTCTAACCGTGCAAATAGCATTTTTCACTATACATACGTACACGGCGAATGAGAACGACCCAAATTTGAGTTTAATTCACTCATAATCGCCAAAAGTGCAGGAACTCAGCGATGAGTAAAATTTGTCTCATGGTTTCCTATGGAAAACCTAAAAAATCTGCCGGAAAATGAGGAAATTGCCGAAAATTTTATTCAGTCTCGGAGTAGTACACAGCAAAAAAAGTTGTTGAATATTACATCGAAACTGCTGCAACCAGGTCAATCCATCGGTTGTGTAATATCACATTGTACGATGTACATCGATTTTGCGAACAAAATTACATCCATTGATGTAATATTGTATCTGCTTTTTGCTATTACATCATTATTTCATACATCAGCTTGAATTACGTTGATCGATATTACATTTTTTTTTGCTGTGTACCAATAGACTGAGTGAATCCAATCTTTATTTTTCTCAAATTCGGGAATTTTTCCCTGGAAAATTACGAAAAATACAGATTATTATACATATTACTGTCAGCCAGATACACATAACAAATATAATATTATTATATTTTTACGGTGGAAATACAGATTGAAATTGGGAAGAAATGTGGCAACACTGAATGAGAGTTGATTATGCGTTTTCGACTGCTGCTGAGTGCTGACTCTTGTTGTTGTTTTTTATTTACGTCTTGAACTAAACTAGACGAAGGAGCCTTGGGACAGTGATTCATTCTTTAGCTAGTGCTGGAAGCGTCTGGAAGTGATCCGTATTTTGTGCTGACATGCAGTTTTGCTGGTTCTAATATTGCCAGATCATCGAAAAGAGGAGTCATTGGGCTATACTCAGCAAAGTGAGCTAGACGTGTAAGAAGTGCGTCTGCTTGTGAAATTCGATCTTATAAAAAGTTGGTTTTCGAAGCCTACCGAACTCACTTGGTGTTTGCCTGTATCGATCAGCAGGAGTTAATTTTGGAAAGTTGGTCAACTGTTTACCTACCTACATAACTTCAAGGACGATTTATTCAATTCGTTTGTCGATTGAACAGGTATTTGAAAAGCGGAAATAATTATTGGTTTTATTTTTAACGCGGAAAGTAGTGCACTTGAAAAATTACCAACAAAGAGAAGACGAGTTGCTGCAGTGAAAACAAAATGGTGTTTCCCAAAGTACTGAAAGTTACCGTCCTAAGGGAGTCTGGAGAGCAGGAAAACTTTCTTCTGTCCGTCGGTCGGTATAAGCTGGTGTGCCAACAATTCGACGATCTCAAGAATGAAATCGTGGGCCGCTACCCGGAGTTGCTGCAGTACGAGGACATTCGATTCGCTTGGATAGGTAAGTAATTTACGGGAATTAGCTGCTGGACTAGGAAAGGAAGGGATTTTCCCCGTTGTTTCGTAACTGCGCATTTTCTGTTTTTCTTGTGGTTCTGCAAGAGAAAAAAAAAAATTCGTTTTCGTCATAAATGGTCGCAGTGCTGCCGGAATAATTTTAGTTAATGTTTTGTTTTGAAAATATATAGATGATGAAAGTGTTGCTCAATAGTTGACAAATCGTATTAAATACGTTCTATATAATTTGTTCTATTTTCACGCAGATGATGACGGCGATGAGATCATCATTCTGAACCATCTCGATTATGTTGACTATATGAATTTGGACGCATGCAGTGGATCAATGCAGAAGCGTCGTATCTATGTCAGAGGCATTAACAAGTTGGAACAGCAGCAGCAACCTAAGGCTTCTGAACATCAGGAAGCACCTATGGAACAGGATTCCGTTTCCAGGCAAGAATCCGTTCCGAAAGAAGACCTTCCGGTGCATACCAACATCGTTTGTGACGTTTGTGACGAAACGATCCATGGCCATCGGTACAAGTGCATGCAATGTTTCAACTACGATTTGTGTATGCGCTGCGAGAGCCGATTCCGTCATAAGGACCACATGATGGTCCGTATCCCGACTCCGGAACTCAACCGGAGAGCACCGTTTCGCCTGTTTGAGAAGCTCCGAAGTTTTGCCGCCGAGGTGGGAGCGCAGCCGGGATTCGCGGCTGCCTACGATGTCCGTGAGGATGATTACGAAAACTCCAAACGGTCCAAACGCCACCACCGTCGACACAGGTGAGTTAGTCAGATATAGGTGAATGCTTGGTTTGCTGATAAAAGCTTGAAAATGCGGAGATATTGATAAGATATCGCAGAAAAGTCCCAAATCAAAAATGCTCCAATCGAAGGCATTTTCTTTTTGTTTCATACTTGAGTGAAGCTGACAAATACTGTGATTCATGGCTAGGTTTTGATTACACAGTAGCAGCAGACAAATTCATTTTTTTTTCTCGCTGTTAGATGTTCCAATGAAAGAAGAGACACGTATCAAGTAGAAAACCAAAACAATTTTAACCAAAATGGTTTCCTGCTGCAAATGTGTATATAATTTGAATTTAATTGTACATGAAGGTAGGTATTAACTACTGCTGTATGGGAAAAGTATACATTTAGATAAAATTGTAATATACTACAAAATTTTGACGAAATGCGTGTGATTAGGTGCTGCAAAGAATTATGGCTGTTTGCGTTAGAATGTGAGATAGATGAACAATTAAAAAATACTACACTGCACATAAAGGCATAACAATCACATCTTTGCTTGGATTCATATTCAAATGGGACTGTTATGCGTTTCTGGGTAATATAGCAATGTTGTACATAACATGACCATGCATAAATTATCGTTGAATTTTGTACGATTCGAAATCAAAGCTAGGTGAAATTTTCATCATAATTTCCATGGTATTAATCAAAAAATTACCTTGGTTTTCTGCTCATTATTATCATGGAATTCTTTATATAATTACCTGAAAACTTTCCTCGTAATTACCTTAAAATTCTTCTTGAAATTCCTTCTAATGATTTCTTCGGAATCCGTTAAAACCATCCTGAAAATTCGATTTCTTTGAATTTTTATTTTTTTAATTTTATTTTGAACTGTAGTCAAAACTTTTCTCAGAAACCCTTTGAACATCTCCCAGTGTTTGGAAATCTGTCAACATGCCATTGAACTACCGTGTGTCAGGTTCGTAACTGGTCATGAATAGATATTCACAAATGAGTGAAGTGTCAGACACCTTTGCCGAATAAGAGTATTCAGTTTTGTAGCACCAAATGAATGAACAAAACGAAGAACGATGGTTGCACAAAAAAAAAACGATCTCAACAGTTCACCGAATAACGCGTTCAATGATTGTATACAACTTTGAACTGCACATATCTTCTCTTCGTGTCTACCGCACAACATTGCCGTACAGATCCATACAAAGCAGTGGATGATACATAAGGAATCGCAAACGTCATCTTTCTGCCGCACCAACTCTGGCAGTAGCACAGCGCAGCTAGGTACACAAGAAACATTCCTTCGTCCTGCGGTACCTTACGAGCGAATAAGGGTAGAAATAATCGAAGAAATTGAACGCGGATAAGTTAGTTAGTTTTGATTTATTATGAACACGGATCAATGTCATGGTCGGTTTTAAATGAATGAAACTAAATTCATATACTGTCAAGAAAACTCTGAAATTAAAGTTATATGAATAGATAACTTCCTGGTATCTTCGGGGAAATTGTTAACTGTCCTTCTTTTGGTACAATGTGTCTTCCAGCGGGGACACCGTAACATCCGTAAAAGTGGTAAATTCATGAAATTGGAGTTAGAGCTGCGCAGTTATTAGTGGAAGCACTTATTGGTGAGTTTGGAGAAAAAATATGGGGTTTTGGTCCAAATATGTACCCTGGAGGGCTAAGGCTGTTCCATTAAAAGATCCGGAACATGCGTAAAAGTGGTCAATTCATTAAACTGTTTCTAGAGCTCCATTTTTTTTTTGCGAACACTCTTGTTGATGTGTTTTTCGAATTAATTTCATATTGTGGCCAGAATATTGATGATCAAGAAGAGGTAAATAAATTAAACTGGTCCTAGAGCCCCATGGTTTTTTTGCGCAAGCACTTGTTGATGTGTTATCTGACTGAATTTGGCATTGAGGCCAAATTATGCACACTGGAGGCCACAAACAAGTTGTTTAGATGATCCGGATTATCTATAAAATGGTCAATCAAGCTTGCTACAACGTATGAAAAATCCGTGAATGGGTGTCTTCAGGAAAGTTTTCATATATTTTTTGGACAACTTTGCAGTGACCTTGGTCATAAGAACAACTTTGCAGTGAACAGTTATTTCTCAGAATGCCAAAATCTTGAGATATGATACATGCACAAGCTCTTACGTACACTAGCGCAGTGTACGTAAGAGCTTGTGCATGTATCATACACACTTACTCACTAAGATGTTGTTTTCGTGTTCGGTAAATTTTACCGAAATCAGAAAAGCTGAACGTTCTGTAAAACTTTGACCTTTATTTTAAAGGCTATTGAATTTGAAAATAATATCAAAACATTTTCAACCTTGTTTAAATTATCAAATCTTGTCATTTTAGTGGAGATTTAGTTTCAAAGTAGCTGAAAAGCAATTGAATTGAATTGCATAAATTTTACCGAAAAGTTCAGCTGTTCGTATTTCGGTAAAAATTACCGAAGTCGGCGATAATTTCTAAGAGTGTATTGTCCATCATTTGAAAGGACTTGGCTAGTTTAGCAACTATGTATGTAGAAGCCTGTATATTCCAAGTAAGTCAGGATCTTGTGATAAAGCACATATGCAATCCCAAGCAACATTTTAAGTTTTATAAAATACTATAAAACAAAATTCATAAAACCCTGGTCAAGAAAGCTTTGCCATTGATGCATCAACCAAAACCTCATTGATGCTAGAATCTGTCTAGTTGGCCCACTCTGGAGAAGGTTCTGAAGGGTCTATTTTTGAAGCTCTTCAAGATTGATTTACTGCAAAATGGTTGTACGATAAACGCATTGAGATCCATTTCAAAACCGTATTTAAGCTACAATAAAAGCTATTTGGCAACAATTAAAACCATTATCCGAGCCATTTACCCTAGCTGCTTGCTAAGTTCACTAGAAAAACAACAACCAAGAAAAAAAGGATTCATAAATACCATCCGATCTTATCAAAATAATTCAATAAAAACTGATCGTAAAAAAATCCTGGTGAATTTCCAAAACTATAAAATAGTTCTCATGAAGTGGCCTAGTTTTAGGTGCCATATAAAATTTGATGTGAAATGTACGTTATTTTACATTAAGAAAAAATATATTCTTCAGATCGATCATTAAGCTTAGCCAAGATTTTTGTTTCTCATGATTTTTGCATTCTAAATATTTTCTCATTGCTAAATTAATTAAAATAAAGTTATATCCAAAGAAATATAGATTGAAAATCTAAGATTGTAAAAAAACCAAGGGGACGAAAGTAATCTTTTCAACATTTCTTTTAACGAATTTCAATAAAATTTGCTTGATTTTCTCAAATTTGTTTTGGATAAAATCGATTCGTTTTGAATTAACGCGCGCATTTCGATATTATCCGATTTCATCCACTATTCATCGATAATCTTCAATGTGTTAGCAGCATTATGCTGATATTATTTTTAGTGTGTAGCGTGATGTGACCTGTCACTTGCTTTTGTGATTGTTTCAAACCCTTCAAGCTACAAGTACCAACTCTGGAAGCAACGAAAATATCTGCATGGAGAGTTGGTGACCAAATTTACTACCGGCATTGATGGCCAAACATGACCAAACCATAGATGCCATATCGATGCTTATGTTCACCGGATGCCAGGCAAGCTTCGGTTCACGAGGAAAAAGCATTAAAATTTTGATTACAAAAGCTAATTCACCTTTTTGTATTGTTGGTCGAGATTCCACGATGTTCCTTTCTTATAAACAAACGGGTGTCACCGTTACTTGTCATGATAATTATAAAGATGTGATCCGATAACAGAGATGTGAACGATACAAACAGATACTATCCGTGTTTAGAGATTTAAGCTAGATTATATCCGATATAATCGATAAAATGGATTTGTTCGACTATGAATCGATTCATCGAATTGTAGAGTTAGTTTTGGCAACATTTGAATAAATCTGGGACTTTCGTCCCCCTCGAAAAAATCAAACAAAATAATTGTAATATGGTGGAGGCATAAAAGTTGATTTTCATGAGCCATTTGTGAAAAAGTTATTTTGCTTTCAAGAAATCCTTAACAAATTCATAAGGTTTTGAAATGGCTTTTTTGAAGAAAACTTGCAGACTGAATTGTATTTATCTAAAGCCATTTTGCTTGATGGTACCCGTTCCGCCGGACGTGCTGGTTCTAAATTTTACTGAAATCGACTTCCCTTCGGTCGTTAGCATCGCTTGAATTTTTCCTCCAACTTCGTTTATCCTTCGAGATATCCTTGTTATAAATTTGGTTTTTATTCACTATGAGGATCCATCCTTAAAGTTCAATTTGTAAACAGAGGAGATGCCAAATGATTGCAGAATTGTTACTTGGGATAGAGTCGCGTAACAAGAGCATTCGCAACTAACCTGTTCTTCATGTAGAAGGCCTTGTCCACCGGGGAAAAAAAAATTGAGGACTGTATTTTCCAGGTTCATGAGATATAAATAGCACATAAAAAAATCTCATATATACACTTACGCTACCTAGTGTCTGAACTCTGAACTTATATGTCCACCATCCGAAAGATCTTAGTCACCTGAAAATGTTTGCCGAACACAGTAACTTGCTATATCGCCGGGATCACGGGGTATTCCATTTTTGAACCAATTAAATCAAATCCCACATGATACGTGTATTAAATTTACGGGATTCACTCGTGTAATCGAAAAAAAAACTCTAGAACAACGTACTGCGGACACGAGACGAGGCGCCCACTGTTGTGGCGACGGTGCGGCATCATACAACATGCCAAAAGATCATGTGGATGAAGTGTGGCTTAATGTGGACCGTACACGATTGCTTTTATTGACAATAATCGTATTGTCAATACATTCAATATTGACGTCAATGCATCGGTATTGACAATATTTCTGTATTTACATCATCAATATTAATGTCAATAATTCCCCTTCGCGTCAATATATTGATACGTGTGGGGTTTGCTTAAGGCAAGCCTCGACAAGCTTTTTTACCATGCTAACAGAT